CCAAAAAATTCCCCAACCCTTCAAAAAACAGGATCAAAAACCCAATAAAAAATCCCAATATAAAAAAACCCCAAACACATAAAAAAAACCCAAAACAAACCCAAAAAAACCAAAACAAAATCAAAACACCCAACCCCAAAAATCCCACCCCAAACCAAGAAAACCACCAAAAAAACCACCCCAAAAATGCCATTTAACAATGGAACTTGGGCAGATTTTATTAACAAAGTGTCAAATCTCCATTTTTTTTCTTTTTTTTTTTGTAGGAAACTTGTGATAACAAGAGCTGCAGAAGACCCAGAACCCCAAATGTGCAAAGTGCAGTTGGTCACACATTAAAGTTGATTTTTTTTTTTTTTTTTTTGCTGCCTGCCCAAGCAGTGCAGAGAGGGAGAGCCCAAAGCAGCCTTCAAAAAATTCTTACACTTCCCTCAGGTTGGAGTGAATTCCAAAATTCCCTTGGAATTTAGTGGGGAAAACACACAGAGCTATCTAAAAAAAAAAAAAAAAAAAAAATCTTAATTTTCAGCAAGAAATCAAAGCCCAGCTTGAGATCTGGATTATTTCAAAATTAACTCAGCTCTTCAGTGCCCCACACTGGGGTTGTTTGAGGAAAAGTAAAGCTCAGTTTTTGGTTTAGATTAAAGCCCAAAAATCAGAATAAAACCCAAAAATCAGAGCTGTGCAAACACTCGAGCCCAAACTGCTGCAGGGGGAATTTTTAACTCCTGGTTTTTCTTGCTTGAAGCTTTTCCCTCCTGCAAAGTTTGTGTGCCAAAAGAAGGAAAAAATTCTTTGTTTCTTCTGCTCCATCTGTGTTTCCCCTGCTTTTTCTCAGCTCCTGAAAAACAACTCCAACCTTCTGCCTCTCCCAACAACTCTTTAATATATTTATTAAATATATTGGAACTGCAAGAAAAAAAAACTCCCAAACCCTGGCTCTGCTTCCACTCCAGAACCTGGAAAAGTCAGTTTTTAGCTGAATCTTCCTGGAGGTGACAACCAAAGCAAACTCATGGAACTCTCCAGGAAGAGATTGGAAAAAAAAACAAAACAAAAAAACCAAAACAACTGGGAAATAATTCCTGAGGATTTGGTTCCAATTAAAGTTTCTCAAAAGCACTGACAAACTTGGAAACTTCGTGGTGAACTGTGGTGCCAAAGGGGAGCTGCCTCAAACCCTGGGAAGAGACAAAAACCACAATGAATTCCCTTCAGGAATTTTTTTTTTTTTTTTTAATACAAAAAAATACATTTCAATATTTAATCGAGAAGGGGGATAATTGATTTGATTTGCTGTTAAATCCTACAAATATTGGGATACTCACTGACTCCAGGAAAAAGGTGCAGAGCTGCTTTGCCCAGGGACACCTGGAAAACAGAAATTCCCACTCGTTCCCTGCTGCTGCCAACCCCTGGATCTGCACCACTCAAAACCCCACAAAAATCCCACAGATCCCAGATCCCAGCCAAGGGACTGCAGGAAAACGATTGGAGGGAACCCAAGGATTTCAGGGGATGAGGTAATTCCCAGTGGGATAATCCCAGGAATTTCCAGGTGGCTCTGGGGTAAATCTCAGTGAGACAACCCCAGAATTTCAGGTGGTTCTGGGGTATATCCCAGGATTTTCCAGGTGGTTCTGGAACAAATCCCAGTGGGATAATCCCAGGATTTTGCAGGTGGCTCTGGGGTAAATCCCAGTGGGACAATCCCAGAATTTCAGGTGGCCCTGGGACAATTCCAGGATTTTCCAGGTGGTTCTGGGGTTACTCCCAATGGAACAATCCCAGGATTTTCCAGGTGGCTCTGGAACAAATCCCAGTGGGACAATCCCAGGATTTTCCAGGTGG